AGGTATGTCTTTGTAAAACTTGAACTTTTGAGGAAACTGTAACAGAATAATTGTAATTATAACCAAAAGAAGCCGCAATAAATTAGAGTGCAATCAGGCTTTCTTGAGTTGTGACTGCTGGATATACTTGGTTATATGTAACATTTCTCTTTCACAGAGGTCAACTTGTTTCTGCTGGATGGTTTTATTCAGTTATGAACATCTTAGATTTAAGTATGTGATTACCAGCCAGAAAGAAAAAATTTAAAAGTACATACATGTGTGGCTTATGTTTGTGTATCATAGTACATTCTAGTAATGTGGGCTATGCAAATAAAATAATGAAATTGATCCACTTTTCAATTAATCTACTGATTCTGTGTATTTTTGTGCTGTTGACTATAAACCATGTAGAATTTTGTTTTAGCTTAAGTACCTCTTAGGATCCAGTTCAACTAGAAAAATGCAGTACTCCCCTTGCCAAAAAGTGATTACAGCTAATACTGTGAAAGGGTATTCTCCCTCAGTACTGTCATTTCACACTTGTGGGTTATATTTTAAAAATTAGAAACTACCGTATATATTTGTGCCATGTTACGTACCCATAAAGGACCAGTAGAAACAGTAAAATGCAGTATTTGCTCTGCCACAAAGTGTTTAAAGCTAATATTGCGATACTGAAAAAGTTATTTTGCATCAAAAAAACTCATTCAACTCATTCTTGTGGGTTATATTTGAAAGAGTATTAATCATGCAGTACATTTGTACCACTGTAAGTACCCATAAAGAGCTAGTACAACCAATAAAATGCAGTATTCTACTTGCTAATAACTGCATTTTAACAGGCTGTGTGCGCTCCTGTGGACCTCAATTTCTTTCTGGCAAACATTCCGCTTTTGGCACATCATCGGCATTCTGCATCAGAGGCAAGACGCAACTTCTCTCTGCGCCAACGGTGATGTAAATTTTGTGTTGGTAGTCAACGAACCAAAACAACAAGGGCAATTTTACAGGGCCATCTATGTCTACTCACGATATACCACTTCATCTTCCAAAAGGTAAGGCTTGTGTAAGACAGAGAAAAGCATATGCCCGCTTGAAATGAACACTAACTGAACACTGTAATAGCTCCTCATCCATCCTGTCTCTGCCCAACCTCTTCAGAAAGTTTCATACTGTGGTAATTTTCTGTTTTTCAATTGATTTGTTTATGAATTTTATTCATTTCACTGTCATATGATTATATTTTGTGTTTCCCTGTTAAGCGCAGCCATGTGATAAAATTATTGCCCCCCAAATGGATTTCTATCTTAGCCCCTGCATACATAACAAAACTTTGTGTGAATCATATAAAACTTAAATGTTTTATAAAGTGACCATAAAATGGCTTGATTCTTTTTGGCTGGTTACTTCAAACATAGTTTGGTCAACTACAGTAATGTGAACTGTAGGTATCCATCATAACAATACAGTATGAATAAAACATGAATAACTTAGTTAATTTAGTCACTGTGTTTTGCTGTGGTAAATGTTTAGGGTATAGAAAATGCATGATAAAACGATGTGGTTTTGAGAAATTTTATAAGAAACAATGGATGAAATGTGACTTTGTTTTACGAGAACTCGGGACACCTCAACATTCTTAATGTCTTGTGTAGACTTTGTACCCGTGTTATTTTATTTTGTACCTCCACCTCTGCTACTGAACACAGACTGTGTTTATATTAAACTCTGGCCTTATCCTTTTCTTGCTCTTCTAAGAAGTAAATTTTCATATTGTTGCCTAGTGCTGCTTTTAAGGCAGTGTGTATTATACTCTGCTTGAATAAACCTAACACTAAGTTTAATGGCAATATTAACTGTTTTGCTTTTCTTTGTACAAAAAAGTAGAAGAAGAAAAATGAAGGTCAAAGTCAAAGTGTTTGTCATATGCACAGTTAGGAAACGTGTTTCCCTGTACAATGAAATTCTTACTTTGCCGTCCACATGAATGCCACAAAATACAAGTGAAATATAAAGTAGATAAATAAGTAACACAAAATCTAAGGCACTTTAAGCAGCAAATGCAGCAATATAATAAAAATATATAAGAATATAATAAGA